TTCCTACATCTTATGAATACGTTAAAAAACGGTGACCCTGATGTACCTCTTTCTGAAAACTTCAGCTTGAAGATGTATTTTGTGAAAGGCCTGCAAAGCAGGAGCAAAAACCACATTGGTTGCTCCGTGTGGGTAGATAAAGGCTTGGTTTATGTCCTAAATAAAGTTGGGAAATCAATGGGATATTTTTGGCTCAGTATCTGAACAGGCAGACAAAATTTTAAAAAAAAGCAACAAAGACAGACTTTGGAAAAAACTGACTTGGGCCTTAAAAAATTACTTGAATTGAATGATTTTTTTGATTGAATGTAAAGATCTTGAAAAACTTAATTTCAAGTTAATTTCAGTTGGTTGCAAAACAAAATTCTTTGTATTGCTATGGGGTTTTTTAATCCTTCTCCTCTTTGTTTAAATTACATTGATTTAACAGAGTATTAAAATATTAGAAAAAAATCTTCTGGCAGTTACAAAGAACATGTGATTTTGAAAACATCGGGCATCAAGTGCTGAAACAGTCCAGTGTGATTACGGTTTTTCCTTGTCACGCAACCAGAAACGCGCATCCAGTCCAACATCTCTTCATAACACCACCCGTCCCTTTGAAGCACTTAATTCTGAGGTGGTTTTAATTGAGGCTTGTGGAAAACAAGGACCGCTCTCCTTGCCCTCGTCCCTTCCCGGGGGAGGCGGGAGGCATGGGGGTCCTGTGCCCCGTGCTGACCCCGAGCCTGCACCCGCGCTGGAGGCTCCCGGCTTCCCCCGTTCCCCACCCCGAGTACGGGGAGCCGCAGAGCGCTTCCCTGGGGTACAGGGAGCTTTAGCAGGGAATAAGCGGTACAGATCAAAGGACCACCAACATTATAGTAATCCCTTGACAAAATGTCCGTGAAGGAATACACCAATGTTACCTTGTGAGAGTTCAAAATTACTAGCAAGCCCCAAAAGACCAAAATTCCGAATATTTTTTGGATGCTAAAGAAGCATGTAAGCTTTAATATTAATTCTTATTCATTTAGATCCACAAAAGTTTTGCAACAAATTTCAATGAGTTGTGCTCTGCTCTGTGAAGTGAGGGGTGAGGTTATGTCAATGGCCACTGCAAGCTCCAGGAAATAGCGATGGGAAAGAACACCAGGCTTAGAGGGAAACGTGAAAACAGAATGGGCTGAGAGATTTGAAACTGCATGGAAGTGGGAGGAAAGGAGGTGAAGAAATGAAGGTTGTGACCATGGTTAGAGGAAGAAACAGCCCATCCATCCAAGTGCGGAGGGGTGAGTTTCAGCCAGCCCTAATGTCACAAACACGCCTATCCTACCTAGTTTTCAGTTATTTATTCCAGCCTGCCCTCCTGTCTCATCCTTTTCCTTGCTGAAGAAAGAATACTCCAGACTCTCAGCACCCCATTGCTTGTTCACTTTACCCAGTTAGTAATAGGCACGCATTTCATTTCAGAGTTTCTCTTATTTTTAATACATTTCCATAACTCGTTCTTGATGCCTTTTAAGTTTTGCTTTATTTTGCTGTGCAACCATTCTCTCATCATCCCCGTACGTTTGTGTTCCTCCTTTACAAGCCCTGTTTTCGCAGTTTGCGTGAGTCCTCTTTGTTTTCTGGTCGCTCCTGAGGCAATCAAAGGTCTCTCTCTGTGCTCCTTGTCCTTGTTGAACACCAGAGAGTCTGTCACTGAGTCTTTCTGAAGGAGAACTGGCCCTCCCGTAATCCGCTGTTCCCACAGTCTGTTTTTCTGCAGGCGTACATCCAGGCATGCGTTTGCAGTGAGAGTTTCTGTGGTCCTGGCACTGACACAGTCCCTGTTTCCCGTATGAGCTCGGGGGACTGATGGAGAGCGAAGCTGGCCTGAGTCTCATTTTCATTATTTTCTTTTTTTCCAGCAATGTACTTTCAGTGTCACTAAGCCAAGTGCATGTGTTCACTATTAGCACAAATTAACAGACAAAATGAGTTAATTAGAACTAAACATTAAACTAATTACTTCCCCTTTCAAATGCTTTGAAGTAAACACAGTACATAAAATTTTTCTCTTCTTGGTTCCTTTTTCCTACCAAGCATCAGTGTTTGGGAGTGCTGGAAGGTGTTTTCTTCCCAAAACCTAAATCATTTCCATGGAAAAATCTTTTCCACACTTCAGGAAACTAACGTCAAGTTTCTCTCTTCCACCCTCCTGATGTCCAAAAAGTGGCTGATGGGGGTAAACTCTGCAGAAATCCTGCCTGAGCCCTAGGCACTGACACGGGTGGATTTGGGGAAATGGGTTTATCTCCTTCCACAGAAAAAGGCAGGAAAAGCCTGAATGGGTCACTGGTACAAAAGTGCCGTCTCCCACGAGGTCTGCAGGGATTTGGTGACTATGGCTTGGAAAAACTGCAATGCAGGGTCCTACAAGGCCACAGCACTCGGCAGCCGACAGACAAAAATCCACATTTTGTCTACGGGAGATGCAGAGCCAGCAGCTCTAAATCCCATTGCCCCACCAGCATGCTTCCCTTCGCACCGGCGCGGCCGAGCTCTCGTGGGATGGGACCCTGCTCCCCGTGGCGGTCCACGCATCTCGGCCAGCAGACCAGAGTTGAAGACATGCTGGGTTTGAAGCACTCAGCCGTGGATGGAGCTCCTCTGCCCGCCGCAAAGGTTTTTCCTGCAGTTCCCACACATGACATTACAAATCCTAAAACGTGGAGAAGGACAATCTAGATCTGCAGAGACTGGCATAGAAGCAGCTGAAAAGCCTCTTGTCCCTGGCTGTCCCAGACACCAGCACCTCTGCTTAAAACTGATCAAGGCTCTAGAGCTGGGGACAATCCTGGCTTCCCCTTTTCTCAGCATGTATCTCATGCAGCTGTGCTACCAGAAATGGAGCTCAGCATTTGGTTTTTTCCCCCTTAAAATTTAGGGCTGCATTGTGTCTGGGAGACATCACTGCGGGTGAGGACAGGCAGCCCTACGGCAGAGCACAGACTCCCACACTGCAGAGGCGCAGAGCTGTGGCTTGCCTCCATTGGAGGTGCCCAGGAGTCACTCATTGGGGTTTTTACCTCATCTACCAGCACAGAAGGGGCAGGCAGAACCCTTAAACTACTTTCCCATCCCAAATGCAAAGATACCCCTCTTGGTCCAAGGAGTCCTTAGAAGGAGAGACTGCCATGTCTTGGAAAGCAGACAGAAACCAGAGAATTGATCTGTTCCTTATTTCCAGATTCCTACCAATTGCAGTGAAGCTCCTACAGCCAGAAACAGCAGAACAGTTAATCAAAAGGGATTAAAGAAAATGAACCACAATGCAAGATATTATTGAAGCCGAGAATCTGGTACGATTCAAGGAAAGAGCAATATCTGCAGCTCTAACAGTTCAGATAATAGTTTAGAATATATATGGCTGTCTTACTTCATGCCAAAAACAACCACTGTTTGCCTCAAGCAAAGAAGAAATCTCTCCCGGAGGCGCACTGTTGCAGCAGGGCTGAGCACTTCGTGTTGGTCACTGTTTCCAGCTGGATGCGAGACTGGATGGACCGTTCATCCGGTACGGGATGGAAACGCTGCGTACTGACAAGAGCCTGGGCTAGAACGGCATCGTTAAGTGATGAGGCTTCGCAAACATGCACAAGGATATTTGTTCTTACAACTTTTATTTCTAACTTGTCTGCAGAGATGATGGAACAAGGGGTCTGCTGGCAGCCCGTCCTGTGAAGGCAGCACACCTTCTCACGGCATTCAAACACATGGAATAGAATAGAATATAGAATAGAATATAGAACAGAATAGAAATTTCAGTTGGAAGGGACCTACAATGATCATCTGGTTCAACTGCCTGACCACTTCAGGGCTGACCAAAAGTTAAAGGAGCAGCATTCGTTTCCAGCCGAAGGGCCAGCAGAAGGACAGAGCTTAACACTCAGTGTTTTGCATTTCATATACAACTGTGATGTTGCAAATGGCAATAAACATAGACAGAGATTGTTTATTCATTCTAGAACGCACTTGTGTGGGACGCAGTACTCTAGTCCAACAAATGTGCTGGAGGTACCTCCATCTTGTCTTCAACACAAGTATGTAAAGATTGAGCCTTTCAGTATTGCTGATTTCCAATGTATGGGACCCCCCAAATGCGTATCTACAACAGCTACATAGATCGCAAAAAAATTCAGCATATCTGCACTCCTCCCAAGAAAAACATCCCCCAGGCTGCCCTCAAGTTGTACCGCGTGGGTTCACAGCACCGAGGCCAGGGACAGCTCTGGGTTTATTCAGCTGTCTAAATGATCTGTTGCATTGTGTATTAAATTGAGTTTTCTAGTATAGATAAGGGTCAATAAAGCAGTTATTTTAAGTGAACTTTGTGGTTTCATTTTGATGAGAGTCAAGATGGTAAAGTTCCCTTATCTCTTCTCATTTTGGTATATCTCTTATTTCTCATATTATACTGCAACAACAACAACATTAAGAAGCCTCTCTTCCTGTAACCCAGATTAAAGACTGAAATAAGATCACAGTCACACGATGTTAAAGGAGGGAGAAAACCACAGGAGAGCAGTAACCTGCACTCACCTTGCTCTTGTTGCGTTGTCCTAAACATGCACAGTTGGCCACTGCAGGTGACAGCCGCCACGCCAGCTGGACAACGGCTGCGACCTCTGGTCATTCTGGGTTCATTAAAATAGACATTGTATTAGAGGAGACCTTATAGCAGACAATAAGATCCCACGGGAAGACTAGTTTAAGGCATTAATTGTTTCTTAATATTCTTAAACAAGTTCAGCCTGCTTTTCATCTTGATACAAATTTAGCATAAGTATTTTGGAGCTTGCCTTCGTTAGAAAAAGACATCAAGAAAGGATGTGGGTAGTTAATCCCAATAAATGCATGCTTAAGCCTTAGAACTGTAAATTTTTCCTAGTAATTACGCATGCTTTTGGGGAATTCTGTCTATGTTAAGCATCGCTGTCACAGATGAACTGCAAGGGCTGTTTCTTGTCCCACAGGTCCCACGAGCCAAGGCCCTGTACACCTACCGAGGGCACAACCCCGGGGAGCTGAGGTTCAATAAGGGGGACATCATCATGCTGCTCCGACAGCTGGATGAGAACTGGTATTTGGGGGAGGTCAACGGGATCAGCGGCGTTTTCCCAGCCAGCTCCGTGCAAGTCATCAAGCACCTGCCCCTGGCACCACCCCTCGGCAGAGCACTCTACAGCTTTGACCTGAGGAGCAGGGATAAGACCGAAAACAAGGACTGCCTGACGTTCCATAAGGTAACAGCACCCCGCAGCAGCCAGGGGCTGGGCGACACGGGCTGGGCGACACGGGCTGGGCTGTTTTCTTCTTTAGACTGTATGGTGTTCTGCTACTCCCCAACTCCATAGGAGTCCCCTTTTGGAAATCAGTAAGGTTCCCAAGCCCCTCTGTCATGGTTTAACCTCAGTCAGCAACTGAGCACCACGCAGCCGCTCGCTTACCCC